GAGGTGAGGTAGGAGTATTACTGTCAGTTTGAGGCAGACTAGGCTATATTTCTAAGTTAAACTGGGTCAAAAAACCTTTTTTAAAAAGTTATTCTTCTTGTACTGCAATATTAGAACACCTACTAGCTATTTTATCTGAATCTCCCCCTTCTCAGCTTTTCTCCAAATTGCCGTCAGAAATATTTATAGTTAGAAAATTGGAACAATGACTTTTCGAAAACATATTCATTTGTGCACTCATGTCCTTGTGGAGGTCAAAGGACGATTTGTGGGAGTCAGTTCTCCTACCATGTGGGTCCCAGGCACAAATGCAGGTTCTCGGACTTGGAAGTGTTCTAGCCACTTAACACTATTATGCCAGCCTATGACAGCCTTTTAAACTTTCATCTCAACTCTGTCTTAGTCTTAGAAAAATATATATTCTTGGGACTGGAGAGATGGTTATGGTTAAGAGCGCTGGCTTCTCTTCCGGAGGTCCTAGTTCAGTTCCCAGCACCCAATCCCATGGTAGCTCACAGCCATCTGTAATGGCATCTGATGCCCTCCTTTGTCTTGTAGGCATACATGCAAATAGAGTACTTATATACATAAGTAAATCTGAAGAAGAAAAGAAATGTATATTCTTTTATTTTATTTATTTTTAGAAATATATATTCTTAAAACAGACCTTTTTAACATAAATTTAAAAAATTAAAAATCACTTCTCAAATAGAAAAAAAAGCATTACAGTGAGAAGAAAATCATCCGGAATACTACTACTATATGTGTCTTCTGTTTAAAGAGGAGAACCGAAGCCTGGAGGAGGGGCTCCAGAAGAAGACCGCAGAAAGAGGTGATTTATGGTGCTGCATGCACTCTGCCATCTTCACACGCCATACATCAACTAGGAATATTTTACTGTTGTACCATGAAAAACAGCTAACTCTAAAGCTAGTTAGGAGACTATGACAGAAGAATGTGTTGATATAATGGAGACTTCACCATGAAAGGCCTCTTAAGAGTGTGTCCTAATGAGATGGAGCCACTATTTTTTTCACAGAGTTTGACTTATTAGAGTGTTGGATATAGGTAGTGCTGCTGGTAGTTACCTTTTACAGATCCGCTGCTCCCAGAGGACGCTTATTCTGCTTCAGTCCTCCCCCTCCCCGAGTTGTTTTAGGCATTGTTCCCTTTTAAGGGAAAACCTCTTTTCCTTTTTTCTTAATGTTGTGTATTAGTGTTTTGCTTGGATATATGTCTGCACCATTTGTGTGCCTGGTACCCACAAAAGCCAGAAGAAGGTGTCAGATCCCCTGGAACTAGAGACAGCTGATTGTAAGCTGCCAGTTAGATGTTGAGAATCAAACCCAGGTCCTGTAGAAGAGGAGCCAGTGATCTTTACTGCCGTGTCATCTCTCCAGCTGGAGGGCGAGGGAGGGAAAAACTTCATTTGTGATACCCATTCATTGTGTTTGTTCAACCAGTATTAAGAATGCAATTGTTCAGCCCTGTGCCAGGTCCTGGCAATAGAAAGTCTGATATGCCACTGACCTTTCCCTGAGTCTGAAAAAGAAAGAGAAAAAGTAAACTAAATTAGCAAGCTATGACAGTGACCTTGATATGTTGACATCAGAGTATTACCCAATCACTCAGATTGTATAGAGAAGTGGCACTTAAATAGAATTTTATACTTTTTTGTGCTTATTTAATTTTGTATTTGTGTGCACACACGCACATGCTTTACAGCACATATGTGGAGGCCAGAGGACTGCTTGGGAGAACTGGTTCTCCTCCCACCGTGTGGGTGCAGGGATTGAACTCAGGTTGTCAGGCTTCAGTAAATGTGCCTTTACAGATAAGCTATTATTGAATTTTAAATTGCCTTTTAAGGAATATGTAACAATTATTGGCCTTTAGGAACAATTTGTGTTGCTTCATTAAAATCAAGGAAGAGGGAACTGAGTTGATGGTGAATGCCTATAATTCCAGCATTCAGGAGCTGGAAGAAGATAAAGGATGATTAGGAATTCTAAGCTAGTCTCAGCTACATGGTGAGACCCTGTCTCAAAATAACAAAACAGTCAAGGTAAGGCATGGTATGAGGTTGGTAGAGAAGGACCAGTTCTTACTGTAGTAGAGAAAAGAGGAGGTCTTGGACTTTGACCTGTATTCTTTTCTCTTTTTTTCTTCCTCTATTTTTTCTTTTTTCTTTTTTAGACATTGTCCTATAGCTCACACTGGCCTTGGGATTCCTTGCATATCTGAGGATTACCTTTGGACTAGCTTTTCTTCTGTGTGTGAGATTTAGCACTGCATGAACGAGGGAGTTGGGGAGGACAGACTCAAGGGAAAACCAGTTGAGAAGGGGACAGTGGTCTAGGCAGGAGACAGACAATAGTGATATAGATGGAGATGATGCTGTGGAGAGCTGTATGAGGCTGTGGGGGAATTGTACAAATATCCTGGTCTCTAGTCCCCTTTCTTGATTCTTTTACCAATAAAGATAACTCATTGGAGGTACACTTATAGTAAAGGAAACAATTTGTCTGTTTTTTTTTAAAGATTTATTATGTATACAATGTTCCTCCTGCATGTACACCTCCATGCCAGAAGAGGGCACCAGATCTCATTACAAAGGGTTATGAGCCATCATGTGGTTGCTGGGAATTGAACTCAGGATCTCTGGAAGAGTAGTCAGTGTGCTTAACCCCTGAGCCATCTCTCCAGCCCAATTTGTCTGTTTTCTATAGCCAGTTGCCATACCTATGCAGGACTGTGAATAGGGCCATCATGTTTGTCTTAACATGGTTTGAGTCTAATGGATGTTTAATTTTAAGGATATGTATAAACTTTGGATTGGTATGCAGGATTCAGTCACATATTAACTGTGTGATCTTGGGGTAGTCATGTAAGCATTGTTCTGAGCTTGTTTGCTTGTAAGTGAGGTAGAAAAAGCCTGGTTGTGATAGTAAAAGAAGCTGTGAAAGTGCATTCTCAGCTTAGAGAGAGGCTTGGCTGGTGTTTAGACTTCGTTTAATTGAGGAGTGATGGCAGTATTTCTCTTACTGGGGAAAAATTAGTTCTGGGGAATAGAGAGTGGAAAAAACCTTACTCTTGATATATAAAATTATACACATATATACTACATAAACAGTATAGCATAGCATACATCTGTGCTATTCAAATGCCATGGGGAATGGGCTGATAGGAAAATAATGTCTGAATAACCTTTATACGGAGATGATGAAAACAAATGCTTGGTCTGCTTAAATAAGACATAGTCTGGAATATGAACTGCTAAGAAATGTAGTATATAGGTGCTCACTTTGGCAGCTGTTCAGATTCTTCCCCCCAAAACAAAACAAAACAAAACAAAGACCCCACAAGTAAACCAACCTCAAACTTTGCCACCCCATACTTGTTGACATTTTCCAAATAAATTAATATCCTTGAGTAGTTTAGAAAACTGCGACCATTTAGGATAAGAATGACCATAATTAAGTGAAATATGATGAAGTTTGGTAAGCTTACCAGTGTAGCTTCTACTAGGAGTTATCAGTATTTTTGTGCTTGGGGGATTTGATATTTTAAATAAAAATTTTCTATATGGGGCTGGAGAGATGGCTCAGAGGTTAAGAGCATTGCCTGCTCTTCCAAAGGTCCTGAGTTCAATTCCCAGCAACCACATGGTGGCTCATAACCATCTGTATTAGGGTCTGGTGCCCTCTTCTGGCCTTCAGGCATACACACAGACAGAATATTGTATATATAATAAATAAATAAACATTTAAAAAAATTTCTATATGTTTTCACTTAAGTAATTTTGGTAATAGTATTATATTCTTAGTAAATAAAGTATTTGTGTAACTGAATGTTCAGGTTAACTGAAGGTTCAAATGACAAAACAAGGCTTTTAAAAGTTTATGTTTAAAACTGGTTTACTGAAAATAACTTTAGCTGTTAGACAACTTCATTTCCTTCTTTATGGTGTGGGAAAGGATGGTAGACATGTGATTAATTAGTATCATCAGTGAGTTCATTGCAAAACTCAGTTTCCGCAGTATAGTTTTCTAGTAGGAAAGACAAAAATTAACCCATTATTGCTATTGTTATTAAAGTGAACTAAGTTCCTTGATAATGATATTATGTGTTCCTTAACAGGTAGAAAATAAAGGTATAAAGAAGCAGCACATAGGCATAGCCATACATCTATTCTTCTATTCTTTGATGATTTCGAATGTGAAAATCTTTTCCCCCATGCCTCCCTTTTTTTGCTAGGAATTGAACTCTGAGCCTTGGACATGCTGAGTATGTGTTTCACCACACAGAAGTTGTTCTATTGTTCTCCGTTTTTTATTTGAAACCTTGATGTATTTTGTGAAATAGTAGTTTGTTTATGAATGCTTTATAGTTTTTTGAAGATTGTTAGGGGTATATTTAATATTTTTCCCTTAAATTTATGTTTTCTAATTCAATATTAGAATAACAAAAGGCAATTACTTTTGTTCAATCTGCCTACTTATTTTTTTTCTCTTGCCATTTCTTTTTCATTTTATTCACTTTTCACACACACACACACACAATATACACACACACTGTACAATTTTATATTTTAGTTAAAAATGAGTATCTTTATAATCTTTTCTGTTCCTGCCCAGAGTTTACAGGCAAGTCTCCCTTGAGATACTCTGAGACTTCAGATATATTTTGTTTAATATTCTTAGTATTGGTGCAGTTTTAAAGATACTTTTGTTAGCTTCTTTGTTTAAAAATTGAAGGAACTTACTAAAAACTTGGATTGTTATCATGTCTTGAAAAGTGACGTGTCTAGGCTGTTGTGTGACAGCACTTGGCAACAGCCCCCACCATCACATCGCCCATGTGGTGCCATTGCATCATCTGTGTTGTGCTAATTCTGGGTCTTGGCCTTGCAATTGCTGTTCAAGGCTAATCTGTGTTAGTACAGTCCTGGGTGGCACTCTGTTGTCTGTACTTATACTTACTCTGTTTTTGTCTTTCAGGAGAAGACGTATGGTCTTATGCAAAGGGTCTTCCTCACATGTTCCAGCAGGGTGGTGTATTCTACAATATTATGAAGAAAACTATGGGTATAGTTAAATTGTGATTTTATCTTTGGATAATGATTCTCTTTAAAGTATATAAAATTAAGAATATTCAAATAGGAACCCAGAGAGATGCCTAAGTGGGTAAAGGCATATGCTGCCAAGCCTGACAGCCTTAGTTCCAATTCCTGGGACCCACATGATGGGAGAAAAGAGCCAACTCCATAGTTGTCCTCTGAGTTCCACATTTGTACCATGGCACATGTGTGCACACATGCACAAACATACATATACACAAAATAATACTTTAAAACAACAATCAAATGATATTTTATTAAAAATACTAACACCTGGGTATAGTATTAAAAATAGTGACAGTTGGGCATAGTACCACAGGTCTGTAGTCCAAGTTGGGTGTTGATAATTGGGAAACAGCTCGAGCCCAGGAATTCCCAGCAAGCCTACACAACATTATGAGACACCAACTTTTTATTTTAAAGATTTATTTTAAATTATGTGTGTGTACGTATGTGTGTGTGCATATGAGTGCAGCTCTCTCAAACACCAAAGGAAGGTGTTAGGATTCCCTTGAGCTGTAGTGACGGGCTTTATTACTATTGTGTATATGGTTTGTGAGCGTGCGTGCATGCATGAGAGGAGGGGGGAGGGAGAGAGGGAGGGAATACGTGAGTGTGGGTGTCACACGCCACAGCTTGTTTGTTTGTGGTCAGAGAATAACTTTCAGGAGTCAATTCTGTCTTTCCACATTGGGCTCCAGGCATCACACTCAGGTGGTCAGTCTTGTTTGGTAAGCACTTTTCATCTACTGGGTCATCTTGCCAGCCCAGAGACAGGTTTATCGAGACATGTTATATACAGAGTAAAATTCACATTTCATGGGGATACAGGTACAAATTAAGTATTATAGACCAGAATATGTGGAACCAGAAGCATTTGGGGTTTGGGAGCACTTAGGAACACTTTATATATACACAATGAGCTATTTTGTTAATAGAGCTCAAGTAAAAAATTTATTTATGTGACATACCTGCCTTAAACACATTGTCTGAAGATTATTTTATATAATGTCCTTAAGTCATTTTGTGCTTTGAAGTCAGTTTCACAGTGTGGAATCTTACACTTGTTGCATTATTTTGTGCTGAAAAAAATGCTGAAAGTGCATTTAGGTTTTGGCACACTATGGATTTTGGATTGTTGGATTAGAAGTGCTCAGAACCCGTGTATTCACTTTATACGCTGTATATGGATTTTGAGAAACATGCAGTCATGTCTCCAGAGCTAGTTCCAGAACAGACTCCAAAGCTACATAGAGAAACCCTGTCTCGAAAAACAAAACAAAATACAAGAATATTTTCTGTCACTCCAGATTTTTAACCAACCCCCATTTTCTAGTCCCCACACACTGGCAACCATTGATTTGTTTTCTGAGTTTATTTACTTTCCCTTTTCATAGTGCTGCACTAGGTACTTTTTGTCTAACATAGGTGTCACTGTGCAGGTTTATTGACATGTATTCGTACTCATGCCTACACACTGCTTGTTCCTTTTGCAGTACAGTACTAGGGTTGAATAGTAACAGAAACCTTACAGTCCACTGTAATCAAAATATTTATCACACTGTCCTTTAGCGAGAAAAGCCTTTTTCTGTTTTGTTTTTAATTATATAAGGGATTTTTATTTTTGCATATGAAGGTCAAATGTCCATGATCTATGATCTGGTAATAGCCATCTTGTTAGCAAAGCCCTGAAGCAGTGTAGAGCATAGCATAGCAAGAAACTGGCAGTGTGTGTTTCCCATTTCTGTTTTAGTGTATATTGGCAGGTATTAGTAGCTGATTTCGTTTGCATTACTACTGAATAATGTTTCATTAATTGGGTATCACATTAAATAAATTAATAATTGGGTCTGGAGAGATGACTCAGCAGTTGATTAAGAGTACTTTTTTGCTCTTGCCAGAGGTTCCATGTTCAGTTTCCAGGACCCACTTTGGGCAGCTCACAAGCCTCCAATGTCCTTTTTTGGCCTCCACAGTCTTATACATGGAGTATAAAGTCACAGACACATACACAGAAATTGAAAAAAAGACTTCAACCAAAAGACATTGAACTGTTTTAGTTTTTAACTACTCTGAATCTAGTCCCTATAAACTTATCATTTATATACAAGTTTTTATTTTATTTATTTATTTATTCATTCATTTATTTATTTATTATTATTTTATCCTATTTTATTTTTTGAGATGAGGTTTCTCTGTGTAGCCCTGGTTTTCCTGAACTCACTCTGTAGACCAGGCTGGCCTTGAACTCAGAGATCCACCTGCCTCTAGAGGCTTCTTCCAGTGCTGGTATTAAAGGTATGCGTCACTGCTCCTGGCTCCATGCAAATTTTTTCTCTTTGGTAAATACTTAACAGAATATAAAGTCATATGGTAAGTCTGTATTTGTCTTTATAAGACACTTCCATGACTGGGGAAATGACTCTGTTGGTGTAAAGTGCTTGCTAAGTAAGTTTGTTGCTCTGAGTCCAGATCCCCAGTACTCATGTAAAAATCAGGGCATGGTGCCATGTGCCTGCAGATTCAGTAGAGACAGAAGTATTTCTGCAGCGGGCTGGTCAGCCAGTCTTGCCAAGTCAGCAAGCTGTGGAATCAGTGGAAAGAATCCTGTCTGGAAAAAATAAGGTGAGAATGAGAGGAAGATAGCAACATTGATCTCTGGCTTCTACACAAATACACATATGTGCACACATGCCCACACGAACATGTACACATACTGCTCGACTCTCTCTCTCTCTCTCTCTCTCTCTCTCTCTCTCTCTCTCTCTCTCTCTCTCTCATATTGCTCTCTCTCTCACACACACTCACTCAGTCACTCACTCACAGAAACTTCTACATCATTTTCCAAAGTGATTAGACATTTTTCATTTCTATTAGCACTGTGTGAAAATTCCACTTGTTTTAGATCTGTGTTGGCATTTGGTAGTGTCACTTTGTGTGTGTATGTGTGCCTGTGCTTGTATGTATGTGCAGGTACACTTTTTGTTTGGCCATGTATTCACATGTGTATGCATGTGGAGGCCAGAGGGCAGCTACTTCAAATGTTGTTCTTAAAGAGCTGCTCACCTTGATTTTTGAGACCGTGACTTTCACTGTCCTAGGGTTCATCAAATAGGCTAGGCTGGCTGACCTGTGAGTTCCAATGATCCTCCTGTCTTTGCTGCCCTAACGCTGGGATTATATAAGTATACTACCATTTCTGTCTCTTTTACACGGGTTCTGAGGGCTTAGACTTGGGTTTTAATGCTTGATGGTAAGCACTACCAGGTTTTTTTTAGTTGAAAATTTTATTTTAAATTAGGTGCATGTGTATGGGTCTGTGCGTGTGAGGGCAGGTGCTGTAGGAGGTCAGAATCCTCCAGTCCTCTTAATTAGATGAACAGGCACCTAAAAAGGGTCTTGAGAACCAAACTCAGGTCCCCTGCAAGAGTCCTCATGGTTGACCACTGAGCCAGCTCTCCAGCTCCAGTTGTTTTTGGTTTTGTTTGTTTAAGACAGACTCTCATTGTATAACCCTACCTGATTTGGAACTTGCTATGTAGACTATATTGGCCTGAAACTTAGAGATCTCCTGTCTCTGCCTCTCTTACACTGAGATGAAACTGTACCACTTGACCTAGTTCTTGTTCTTAAAAAAAAAACAAAAATTTTTAATACATGGATAGCACTAACCATAGTGATTTATTAAATTGCATTTCTACAATAAAGTGATATTGATTACCTTTTGACGTATTTTTCTTTTTCCCACTCAATGTTAAATAAGTTTTATATTTTACTATTAAGTTTTATTTGTGTTTTAGGCACATATAATTGATCAGATGACTGTTTAGCAAATATTTTCTTATGGTCTGTAATTCATCTTTTCATTCTCTTGATATCTTTTGAAGATCTTTGATATCTTTTGAAGTTTTTCAATTTAGATAAAGTCCAGTTTAGTAATTTTTTCTTTTATGGTTCATGCTTTTTATGCCCAATTCAAGCTCATTAATATTGTATTCTTTGTCTTATAGATTTAGGTTTTTATATTTATTTTCAAATATATTTTGGGTATTACAAAATGTTGTAAGTAAGCCAGGTGGTAGTGATGCACACTTGTAATCCCAGTACTCAGGAGGCAGAGGCAGGTGGATCTTTCTGAGTTCAAGACAGCCAGGACTGTTACACAGAGAACCATGTCTCAAAAAAAAAATGTTGTAAGTATAACAAGAAGCTAATTTTTGATAGGTTACAAAAGTATAAAGGTTTATTTTTAGTTGTGGATGTTGCTCTTTTATTATTAAAAAACATACATTTTATCCATTAGATTATTTTGATACCTTTTCACTAATTAATGAGTTATATACTTGAAAGGATAAATTATATCATATGCAAACTATACCTAAGTAAGTTTGCTCTTAAAGTCACTTGAAGCCAAGTGAGCTATAGTCAGCAGCTGCTCAAGTTGAGACACTCAGGAGATTACAAGGTTTTTTTTTTTTTAAAAGATTTATTTATTTATTATGTATACAGTGTTCTGTCTGCATGTATGGCTGCAGGCCAGAAGAGGGCACCAGATCTCATTACAGATGGTTGTGAGCCACCACGTGGTTGCTGGGAATTGAACTCAGGACCTCTGGAAGCACAGTCAGTGCTCTTAACCACTGAGCCATAGCTCCAGCCCAGGAGATTACAAGTTTTAGGCCTAGCTAGGAAACCTAGCAAGACCTTGTTTTAGAATTAAAAGGGTGGAGAATGTAACTTAGTGGTAGAATAGTTGCCTAGTATAAGGCCCTGGGTTCAACTCTTAGTATTGCCAAATTACCCAAAACCAAACAAAAACTCAAGCAAATTTGCTGTATTCTAGAGATTTTTTTTCCCCTTCTGTGTTTTGTCTCTCTTTTTCTTAGTGCCATGACTTGAGTTTTGTATTTTATAGCGTCCTTAAAAATAAATCAATGTAAATATTCCCTGTTTCCCCTGGAAAAAAAAAAAAGGTGGGGGGGATTCTGGTTCATTCCTTGTTAATCCATACAAACTTTAGGATCAGGTTGTTGATTTCAACAATAACAACAACAAAATCTGCCGGGATTATTTTGTTTAAATGTGATCTCATTCACTATATAGACAATTTAGAAACACTCAATGGCTTAACAGTACTCTTTTCCAATTTATGAAACTTGTTTCTCCATTTACTTTCATTCGAATTTTGTAGTTTTAGCATGCAGACCTTAGTTATTTTATTCTTGGATTAAAAAAAAATCCTGTTATAAGAGATGCTTCTTAAAATTTCTCTTATTGTTTATTGCTAGTAACTAGAAATAAAGTTGGTTTTCATGTTAATACTGTACCCTGTGACCTTGCTAAGCTCATATATTCTTCTAGCTTTTTTTCCCCAGAATTATGTAGGTCAACATGTCTTTTGTAAATAAAAGATATCGCTTCCTTTTTTCTCTATTAATTAATTTATTATTTTACATCCCAGGTACAGTTTCCCTTCCTTATTCTTCTCCTATTCTTTCCCCCCAGTTCCCCTCAGCCACTCCTTTGTTTCTGTTCAGAAAGGGGCAGGCCTCCCATGGGCGCCTGTCAAGTTGCGGTAAGGCTAAGTGTATCCCCTGAATTAAGGCTGGGCAGTGCAGTCCAGTATGAGGATATGGTCCCAAGAACCAGCCAAGGGTTGCTCCTGCTTTCATTGGTAGGAGTCCCACAATAGACCAAGCTACACACTGTCACTCGTATGTAGAGTCCCATTTAGGCTCTCTGGTTGTTGCTTCAGACTCTGAGCTTCTATGAGCCAGGCTAGTTGTTTCTGTGGGTTTTTGTGATGATCTTTCACCTGTAAGTCTTTTATTGCTTCTTCTTGCTTTATTGAAGTGGCTAAGATTTTTAGTTCAGTGTTGAATAGAAATGACAAAGAACATAATGCCTTCTTGAAGGGAAGCATTCAGTTGTTTTCATGGCTGTGTCTTATGTCCCTTCCATTCACGTGTGTGTGTGTGTGTGTGTGTGTGTGTGTGTGTGTGTGTGTGTGTGTGGTTTTGGCTTTTCGAGACAAGGTTTCACTGTGTAGCCCTTGCTGTCCTGGAACTCACTCTGTAGATCAGGCTGGCCTCAAATTTACAGAGATCCACCTGCTTCTGCCTTCCAAGTGCTGGGGTTAAAGGTGTGCACCACCACTGCCTGACTACTTTCCTTCTTTTTGCTGACTGCTCTGGCTAATGGTTGGCTTATCAGTTTTATTGGTCATTTTCAAAGAAACAACTATTGGATTCATAGGTTTTCTCTTCCCTTATGCTTGCTTTGTATACGAGATATGAAGCAGGATTTAAAACTAATTCTTTTTATAGTTCTAATTCCATTGTGGGTTTTTTTGTTGTTATTTAGTGGTGGATAGGTGCGTAAAATATAATCAGTAGTGAAAGTGATAAATTTAATGTGAAGTGTCACAGCTTCCATTTTGAATGCCAGTTTTATACGTTCATTAAAAAATTTTGTTTTTATTTACAGGTTTTTATTAATAGTTTGTTTTTAAAGTTTTTCCTTCTAGTTTTCTAAGTAGAAGCTTGACTATAAAATTTCTTTGTTTTACAAACATTATTTAAAATTTTATTTATGTATGTGTGTCCATGTGTGGACATGCATGTGTCATTGTGCATGTCTGACAAAGGACATCTTTAGGAGTTCATGCCCTCCTTCTACAGTGGAATCTAGGAATCAAACTCAGGTCATCAGACCTGTCTTGCAAGTGCTTTTATTTTTTGAGCTTTTTTGAACCCTGAAATAATTTTTAAAATGTTCAGCATAGAATTGAGACTTGGATAAGAATACTGTATTCTACAAATGGTGTTGAAACAGCAGGATGTGCAAGTGTAGTCCACGTGAATGAAAGCGGGCTTCCTCCACCTCCTGGGTACTGGGATTAAAGGCAGGAACACTATGTTAAAAAGAGAGAGAGAGAGAAAGAAAGCCACTTAGACCATATCTCTAACTTGAATATTTTCTTTCTTTGATTTGTATGGTTTGGCAAGGCCTGAAGATATGCATAGTGGCAGCTCTCAGCTCCTGAGCTATATAGCTCTGGCAACTTCAATTTTTTTCTCAGTTGACTATGCCAGAAGCATATCAAGAGAAATTTCTACCTGGATTTTTATTAATTGACATTTTGCCTACTATTGAAATTACTATTTGTTTGAAATTATAATTTAAATTTGAGTAAGTAAAATTCTATTTTCTTACATTGTGGTTGGTTTTGTTGTTTTGTAATTCAGGTGTTTCTTTAAATTTCCTTTCATAACTTTGCTATAGGATAATGATTTCATGTATATATTCCCCATTTCTGGGAGAACTACTTTAAATTCTTACTAATGTTCTTTTTTTGTAGTAGAATAAGTTATTTTCTAGCAAATCATTTTTGGAAAGCGGTTCGTCTTTTCATTGCTATCAGAAACTCACTATTTTGGCCATAAATGTCTTTGCTATGCTTTTACTAGTATTTATGTAACTAAGATCTTAATATGTTAAATATCTTTCCTTTTTTTTTTTTTTTTTTTAGGCATGGCTGATGGCAAACATTGTACTTTTCCACATCTACCTGGCAAAACCTTTGTTTATAATGCTTCTGAAGATAGACTGGAGTTGTGTGCCGATACTGCAGGACACTTCCCCATTGGTCCTGATGTTGAAGATTTAGTTAAAGAGGCTGTAAGTCAGGTTCGAGCAGAGGCTACTACAAGAAGTAGGGAATCAAGCCCCTCACATGGGTTATTAAAACTAGGTAGTGGTGGAGTAGTGAAAAAGAAATCTGAGCAACTTCACAATGTAACCGCCTTTCAGGGAAAGGGGCATTCTCTAGGAACTGCATCTAGTAACCCGCACATTGATCCCAGAGCTAGGGAAACTCTGGCTGCAAGAAAGCATAATACAGGGACAGATTTTAGTAGTAGTTCCATTAAAACAGAGCCTCCTGTGTTCACAGCTGCTCCTAGTAACAGTGAGCTTATTCGAATAGCTCCTGGAGTAGTAACAATGAGAGACGGCAGGCAGCTTGATCCTGATGTGGTTGAGGCCCAACGAAAAAAATTGCAGGAAATGGTTTCTTCTATTCAGGCTTCAATGGACAAGCACATGCGGGACCAAAGCACAGAGCAGACACCATCTGATCTTTCTCAAAGAAAAGTAGAAGCTGTGAGTTCTTCTGTGAGGCCTGGGAGTCTTCAGACTGGCTTGCCTGAACCTTTTTCTTTAACTGGTGGCACTGAGAATTCGAATACTGAAACAACTGATAGTCATGTGGCAGATACACTGGGAGCAGCATTTGCCACAAGGTCAAAAGCACAAAAAGAAAATACTATGGAGGAACCGGAAGAGATGGATAGTCAAGATGCTGAGACGTCTAACACAACTGAGCCAATGGATCACTCTTGATTTAATTAGAGGCTAATAAAGGCAGAATGTTTATTGTGAATATGTAATATTTGTTGGCTGGGCCACATAACTTGAGTAGTCATTAAAAATCTTGTACGTATATAATTCAAAGATTATATCTTGTTATTCAGTGCATGATAGCAAGTGTGTGATCGGCAATAGCTTTTACTATACTGCTGCCCAGGCTGGCTCTGAATTATTGTAAATTAGTTTAGATCTATTGAAAGTTTCTTCGATATATGTGCTTCATTGGAAGTTCTTTGTCATTTTAATTCCATGAAAGTCTTAATTTTCAGAAATGAAAATTCTCTTGCTAAATGTTTGGTTTCTGCAAAGACCAGAATTGAAGAGGAAATGAGAGTTTGTACATGCTGTCGTCAAGGTAGCCATCCTACATGTCAGGAAAATGTCGATTTCAAGTTTACCTGAACTAAATGTATCTTAAAATACATAAAACAGTTTATTAGAGTACTTAAAAGTTATAACATTTTAGAGACAGCTACTGTTGGCAAAAATATCTTGATGGTAGAGTGTAATGATACAACATTTTCCTGATTTGAGCTAAGTTGGGAAGAACGATCTATCCTAGAATGATAAAGTCGGTGTGATTCAGTTAGTTGGTCTGAGCCAATGTGGCCAGTTGTGTGCTCTTGTTGATAATATGTTGCCATTATTTTTTTAATCTTGGCCTTGTCAAGTTCCACCTATTATTTTTTTAAATCTTGCATAAGAGAGAATTACAATTTGTTTTAGAAAATTTAAAAATAATGGTAGAAGTAGTTAATTTCTAACTATGTCAGAGTCACAGAGAATTTTATCTTTATGAGTGGGTTGCATTGTTCTACAGTTTTGACACAGTGGTGTTTAAGCCTGTATATGCTAAATGTCTCTGAGCCCCTTTGAACCAAAAATGTTTCCTTTTCTTCTTAGATTTTCTATAAGATTTTCTTTTTGTTGGCTTCACTTGAGTTTGGATGCATAGTTTACTCCAACATACCATGAGCAACTGAGCATTTGCTTAAACATTGCATTCATGCGCTCTTGCTCTTCAGTGCCGGTTTCCTCGAAGCAGCTTTCATGCTGTTCCTTAGAAGCAGAGTGTATACTCCTAAGATGGGAACTGCACTGTTGTATTCTGTTCTACAGGTCTGTATTTGTAAGTGTATTCCAGTCCATCATCTTCCTTTGTTTACTGAAATTAAGTTGAATTTGAATGAATGAAAGACAAATGTGTGTTAATATAATCTCTTAGAGCATTCAAAGCCTGGCTGTCTCTGTTTGCACATGTAACAGATGCAGAACTGTTTGTAATTCTCCAAAACTATATGCCAGAAAATATATTATCAGGTGTTTAAAAATCTCTATGTTCATTTGAAAGGGATGTAAGTTATACTTTAACTTTTTCTAGATAAGGGAGGTTTGGTTTTTTTTTTTTTTTTCTGTGACAGTATCTTTAACTAAATCCAACTACTAATTACCCCACATGTTGAAAAAGGAAGGAATGGAGAATCTAGACATTTTACAAATATAGCTAAGGTTAAGATAATGTATAGCACACCACACCACATACACACACATCTTCTGGATTAGTATCATATCACATGCTTTGCAGTATTTTATCTCCATTCGTCTATTTATCTCCATTCGTCTGTTTCTAAATTTATTTTCATACATCTTTATATCAAAGTATCAGGAAAATTTAGAACTTTTGTATTGTTTGCTAGTTTTGCATGAAGTGAAAGAGAGCTACCAAATTCTTAACAGTTAGCTGTGCTTTAAATCACCCCCCTTCCCTCACCACTATCATTATTTTGTCTTATTAAGCCACTGACATACTCTTTAAAAAATTTTTTCTGACATAAGTACATGAAAACTGTTAAATAAACAAAATGTACTGCTTCAAATAAATTCTATAATCACTCTACTCCAACAGATGCTCTTCTCTGGCTTGGTATGTTTAGTTAACAACGGGCAGGATCTCAGAACATTAGAGTATCAGAAACAAAATTTGTATTTTCATGGCATGGTTTCACTAGATGGCTCTGGCTGGCCTGGAGCTCACTATGAAGACCAGGCTGACCTTAAACTCATAGAGATCTGCCTACCTCTGCCTTCCAAGTGCTGGGCATACACTAACATGCCGGGCTAGAAACAGATTTTATCTCCCTATTGAATACTTGAATTTAGTGTAAATTATGCACATGTGAACGTTAGAAGATGGCCTAATCTCTGACAATACTTTATTGTCTCTAGTGACGGTAGTGGGATTTAGCATTAGAAACTTAACTGGGTATAAATAACAGTTTGGGTTCTCCCTTGATAAAAAGTAAACAAAAAACACGCTTGAGAATTCATCAGAATTCTTGAACATATTTTAACTCATTTGAAATTTGAATGGGATAACTAATCGTTTGGAGTAAGTTTTTGAGGGTTTGTTTTAAACATCATCCTTGTATCTAAGTGTAGATGACTGTTACTATTGTGATACCACTGTACTGCATCAGCAGAGCACAGAAGCTTGTAATCTCAAGTAAAAGTGTTTTTTAGCCCTAGATGCGACATTATAACTGTAATTCAAACCAATTCAGCTATATTTTCAGTGTTTTGCTGAACACACTAAGGTGATATTGTAAATATTTTTCTTCAGTGATCCATTCTGTAATCATACAGAGTTTGAGTTGATGACCCAAAGTCCAGGCAGTTAGAGGTGGTGTATGTCCAGAGAGCTGGTAACGAACAATGGTTCGAAGGAAGGAAATAAGACACTGCCAAGTATTATGACTAATATACAGTTAGCCCCAAGGGAATGGTTACTCAGGAACTAAAGAGCAAGCTTAGATAGCCCATTCTTCTCCCATCCCTTAAACTATGTTTCAGGTATTTATTGGAAATTATTAGGAAAGAGGCCTGAGAAATTTAGCAAATGATAATATTCAAAATTTGCTTTATACCTTCTGTGACTTTTAATTTCACTTTGATGATTCAGTTTTACTACTTGAGTTGAGATTGCATTCTGAATACACCTGTGAGACTGGTCACAGGTCATACAGGTCTACGTGTTGTTTCGTTTTGTTTTGAGAGGGTTTTTCTCTGTAGCCCTGGAAATCAACTTTGTAGACCAGGCTGACCTCGAACTCAGAGATCTGCCTGCCTCTGCCTCCCAAGTGCTGGGATTCAAGGCGTGTGCCATCACTGCCTGGCTACAGGTTTTTTGGTTTTGGTTTTTCGATACAGGGTTTCTTTATGTACCCCTGGCTGTCCTGAAACTTGCTCTTACAGGTTTTTATTGCCGTTATTTTAAGGATCATTTTCATTGGGTATTAACAGTGGCTTACATAGATAGGGTCTCTTACCTCAGGGAAGATCGTTTACGAGCAACTCCTGTTATTGACCAGTTTTGGAGAATTACTTTGACACATCTCATGTTAACTACCGAATGCAAAAAAGTATTGTTTAATGTAGTTACCGGCTGTCTGCTACGGAACATTTCTCTAGATATTTAGGACCTTATTAACAAGTAACATTTAGATATGAAATAAACTGTCATTAGTAATACTGATCTTGTCACTATAGTGATGGTATAATTTTTTTTATTTTAGAACATTAATAAAGTTTTGTCCTCATCTTTCAACAACCAGTTGGCCCAAACTTAAAATAATGAAGTGCAAATCTTGTGCTTCACCCCCCCCCCGATCTAAAAGCAAGGTCTCCATCTTAAGATTCTTATAAAATCAGAGCCCTTGCAAAATTGGTTTAAATTCCACTCATTTTAACGTAGATTTAAAGTTACCTTTTATAACAAATAGATGTGTATTCTGGGTTGGCTAGATGTTCTACTTTCCAAGACTATATCATTTAACAAAATTGTACAACACAGACTTTTCACAATTTGATTATTTTTTTCAAACAAGAACAACTCATGAAAATAGGCCATAGTAGTAAAATGTATATTTAAAGAATTAGATAACAAAGGGGAGATAGATCACTAATATCACAGAGTTAATTGCAAGTTCTGCCATTCTTTGAGATGCCAAGTGTTTCAATTCATATTTAATGATGCTCAAATTGTGGAAATTTTAACATTTGTTCCAAAATAGCAGAAACTGTTAAAAAAATTGTGAATTATTGGATAAAATACCATTACTTGTATATCTGACATTTAAAGTTTTTAATTATGGAGTTGACATGTTTTTTGTAGTATAATACAATGACTATTCTCTTGTAAAAGAAAAGGAAAAACTAGTAAAGAAAAAGTTTTAGTTGATGTTATTTGCTTGTATCAATTACTAGTATTTTAAGATTTAAGCTATTGCATACTTTCCTTTAGAGTGCAGAAACCCCTCTGGAGCCTTCATGCCTGCTGTAGAGCAATAAAGGACTGAACAGATTATCAGTACTTCAGGCTGGCTTGACTTTAAGCACTAATGCTAAAAACTGGAGAGTCTCCTTTTTGGAGGGAAATGCTACTTAGACTAAAACCAAGCACATATAGTGTAAGTATTTGGGCAGAAAACTAGCAGGTCCTTTAACTTGGCAGTGAAGTATTGCAGTTGCTATGTCGTCCATAGGCACTAGCTGTTAGACACTGCTCTGATTTCACGTTTGTATTACAGTTGAGAATGGATAACTGCTAACAACATAACAGTATAGTGTTCTTGGCACACCTCACTGTACAGTATTTGAAGTTTTGTATTAATAATAAAACTAAGTTAATAATATATTACTGATTTCCCCTCAACTTCACATTGGCTTTTAAAAGTAATGTCTAGTTTCCTGGGATTATACTTTAATACCATAATGCATCAACAAATAGTTCATTCAGTTTTAAAAAAATGATTCTTAGCGTAATAAAGTTGTTTTTAAGATGTCCATAAATGAATTACACAGGAAATGTAATTTCTTTCCTTAATGCAGATTTTAATATTAGATTAAATTGATCCAATCAGAAAAAAGAACAAGCAAAGTTTCTTTAGAAAGTTAGGCCATGTAATGCTTATTAAATATTTCAAAACAAGTTGTGTTCTAATGGAGAATTTGTATTTTTGAAAAAGTACTAGTTATGGTGAGAAAATGAAAGAAAATACAGAAAATAGCACCAAATTCCTTATTTTCATTGTTTACCTGTCAATTGTCCACTTAAGTTTTAGCATATTTACTTAGTATTTATTGTATCGTAGTAGACCGTTTATCTCTGTTTAGAATGCCCTCGATGCCATACTCAGGTGCAAGTCTAGCATACTACCTGCTGTGTAACCTTTGGTTTGGTAAGAACTGCGTTACCCCTAGAGTTGTGAGGATGGATGAATTACTACTACCTGAGCGTTAAAACTGCCTGGCAAGTGTACATTGAGATATTTGCTGTGACAGGCATGTTCAAAGTGATAGAGTTCACCTGCCACTGAAGTGCAGTGCAGCCCTCCGTGAGGTGTAGGGTATGTGTGTTGCCTATTAAATCTAGAATTTGTTGCATTTGTAGTATGTTACTAATGAGTAAAAACTGGATGTTTTTACATCCTTATATTTCTATGGGGCTTTAAGATCTCGTTAACTACTGAGAATCTGGAGAATTGACATCACGTGCTGTGACCTGGATGCGCTTTTAAGGGCCTGTTTCTGCTGTAACCTTGAGGGTTTACAGCTGTACCTCTGTGTTCTGACCGTAGGTGCACTTGCTGAGAGTAGTGCTGAGGCAGCAGGCACTGTGAACTAATAATTACCTTTGCTTTATGCTGAGACTGCAATCACAAACTTGGACTGGAGGTCTTCTATGTGCATGCCATTGGTCACATACCATCAAGATAGAGCTATCTTGATGTAAATAAAGTAAGGTAAACATTCCTCTTAAGATAGTTCATTACTGGTTTTGTTTTTATTGACTGTCATTCCCCCAGTAAATACAATCTGACTGAATAACCAATTGCTTCTAATAATTAAAAATGTACAGCGACAAATTGAAGTAAATCAATTGATTTTCTAAACTACGGTACATGGGGAGTGAAAAACAAGTTCTTCCATCCAATTCATGCTCTTTGAAAGGAAACCAGCTTTTCATTCACTTATCCTTTTGTGTGTATGTGTGTGAACGTGTGCATGTGTATGCATGTATGTGTCTGATTATTCCTGTCCTGGTTTTATGAATAGAGATAAAGATGAGATGTGGTCCGCCTGTAAAATTACTAATTTTTACATTTAATTTGTGGAATCAGGATATTGTGTAGTCATTACCATCCATTCAAAACAAATATTGTCAACAGCCACACTTCCCTAGGAACTGGTGAAGCAGTTCTGAAAGACAAATTCCATGTGTTCTTGTGTAAATGGTGCAGTCAAGTAAAGACCACCCTTAAGTCATTACAGTAAGTCACTATAGCTATGAAGTGGTTCCTTTCCCTGGATTCAGACGGTAGTTTAAACACTTAGAACACGATGACTGTCAAGCTTACACAGATTAGGTGGAACTGTATCTCTGGACATGACGTGGTTGGTACTGTCTTGAAATAACCCTCACAAGTCTGGCTCCCTCATAGAAATTGGTTGGGTCTCAGGCTTCGCTGCAGCCCAAGACAGTGTGATGGATGCTCCCTTCGCTGAGGCTATGCAAGCAGTTGGTATAGTGGCTTGTGCTCCTGTAATCAACCTCTCACCCATGTTCCCGTATAAACCCATTGACTCTCTTTGCCAAGGTAGACGTGGGTGGAATCCTTTCTTAGGTCTGTTGTTGGTGCTGTTTGAAGTGAATAGTTCCTCCCCTCCCCAATATCTCCCTAGGAAAAGTCAGAAAACACCGTTGTCTTGTAGTTGAGTGGTATCTGGAATAAACCCAAATGTTTAGGACTACACCGCCTGTGCTGTTAAACTTAATGCTACACTCATAATTTAGCAAAGGAGTAAGATATGGTTGTCCTAAATCTTTTGAATATTATTTAAATCTAACTTAATTTTCTGTTCACCAATTTAGTTTGAACTCATTTCAAAGTACAGAACTTGGCTATTTCATTTCACTTGGCTAGTTTGCTTTCTGAAGCCCAATTTTCTACTCGAGTTCCTATTTTGGGTTGATTTTTTTCTTACCTCCAAATGTGGGGGTTCTACGGAAAAAGGTTTCATACTTTCCCCAGTTACTAATCTGGGGAAATTTGAGAATCAGTAGTGAGATAAAAGTCTAATACCCCCAATTCAAAAGTACTAGACTACTGATTTGCTGGATAGGTCTCTCGCTTTGGCAGGAGGGGCTGTCCATGGGTCATGTTTCTCAAGGTGTAGTTGTGTACTATATGCTCTTCCAGAGTTCCTGTAGAATCATGTGTCAGGTACTTTGCAAAACATAGTAATAGGTCTGGGGACGTAGCTTAGGTTGGTAAAGTTCTTATCTGGTATGCACAGAGCACTGGGTTTTATCCCTTAACACCATGTAAACTAGACATGTGCGCACCTGTCATCCAAGTGCTTGGGAGATGGAGTTAAGAGAAGTTTGCTCAGACTTTCTGTAGGTGATCTCAGCTTCTTCTCCTGCCATTTCTGTATTCGAGTCAGATTTATAGTGGTACAATTACTAATAATCAGAAGCAACTGCACACAAAAGAAACTAACTAAGCAGAGGTCTAAGAGCCCTTACTTTCACAATGCAACCATGTGTTCTATTCATGGGTTGATAGGTGAAAAATTGATCAATGAATAACTATGTAAATGAGTGAATAAATCATGTAATAAAAAGAGGAGAAGAAGTGCAAGCCCCCTCAGATACACGAGACTGGGACAGTGGTTCTCAACCTTCCTAATCCTGTGACCATTTAATGCAGTTCTTCATGTTGCAGTGACCCCTAACCATAAAATTATTTTTATTGATATTTCATAACTAATTTTGTTACTGTTATGAATTGTAAATATATTTGGAGATAGAAGTTTGCCAAAGGGGTCATGACCCACAGGTTGAGATCTGGAGAAAAAAGCAACCATACGGAATAATAAGCTTGTCTGAGCAGTACACCCTCTTTGCTTTCATTATGCTCACATTTTAGTGAAGAGAAAAACATTAAAACAACTAAGTGGACATAGAGGAGAGCTGGAAGCTGTGGTATCCTATCAGAAGAACTAAGCTGATGTGCTAACGATTAGAGAATGCTTCCTGATCCCTTAGCTGAGACAGAATTATTGGGTCCTTAAAAACCAACTATCAATATTGAACATGTCGAAAAAATTATTTACAAGGCCAGTCCGACAAGCAAAATGAAGTGGAACTGGGTGGAGTTAAGATGGGTACTATTCTTGAAGAATAACTGAGTTTGCTTCCCAGCCCCCACACTGTCTTCTGCCTTCCTCAGGCACTAAACTTGTATACCCTCCCCCATAATTAAAATCTTTTTTAAAAATTAAGTGAGATGCTTATGTTCACCACACCGTAGTGTAGACCCTAGTATCTCCTATATGGATGTGGTGATCATGGGGAAAGAGGAGAATTGTGTAAGGCTTGTCAGAATACAGTCTCTAGGGTCCAGCACGATGACTCGGTGGGATTGGTGCTTACTGCCAAGCCTGATTTAATTCAATGCCAGGAGACCATCATGGCAGGCAAAAATGGACTTCTACTTGTCTTCTGAACTTGGCACATGAACCATGCATGTGTGGGCCTACACACACACACACACACACACATGAGTAAGTAAATGAGTAATAAGATGATTGCTAGGGAAAGAGAAAACTAACATAATGAGAAGTTGTACTGAGTATGAAAACTCTGATATATGAGCTTTGGAATCAAAAGGTAACTCTGTTACTAAATATTTCAGTATTTATATACATGCAGGCACACACACACAGAGAATGTAAATGACATAAAGCAAAGGTCAAATTAGGGCTTGGAACCCAATCCTCAGTTTTGTTGTCTTAAAGATGGAGTTTCATGTAGCTCAGGCTGAATACTCAAAGATGACCGTGAACTTCTGATCCTCCTACCTCCACCACCTGTGTAGTGGGGTTACAGGCACGTGCCTATAATATCATGCTGGAGAATTGAACTAGGGCTCCAGGCATGTTAGGTGATGATCTACCAGCCAAGCTACATCCCTAGTCCAGAAACCTGCCTCCTGATTTCTTTCATCATTAGAGAGAAGGATCATAGAGATTCCTTACAGCCCTGTACCAATGGCTCTTGCTTTTCTTGTTTCTCTTAAAGTGACTAGTAACCAAATGTCTGACTTAAGTTTCATTTAGGAAATTGCTTTTCAATTTAAGATTATCATATGATATTTCTTATGGAATGTTATT